TCTATATGATGCATTTGTCTGAGTTTTCCATTTCTTTTAAATGCACTCATTCTAGAAAGAGAAGGCAGTTGATAAAACAGAGTAAGAGTGAGGAAATTCCTAGAGTTTACTTCACCCCCAATCCCCCATGCATTCCACCAGCCCCTGACCAGGAACCACTAATCTAGTAGATTCAGAATTGCTTAACGTAATTGTGTTTCTTTATTTTTCCCCTTCCCTTTAATTCTAAGAAGAAAAACAAAGGTCAAATGGAAAAACAAACAACCCAGAAACAAAACAAGCAGGGGCAAGCTTGTTTGGAGTAGAAAAATGAATAAATAAACAGCACTAGTTCTTTTCTTTTGTTTTTTTTTTAAATAGCTGGGAAAAGTGGGAGAAAAAAAAAAAACAGACACTGTCAAACCATTTCTGATTATAAAGGACACAGATAAGAAAGAAAAGTGTCCCTCATGTTTGTTTAAATTCCAGAAATGTACATGAAACAGGTAGAATATGTCAAGGGTATTCTGAAGTACAGTTTTAAGTAATAAGAACTAAAGAAGTAAAAGGGGAGTGTGGAAGGGGATGAAAGTTTGCAACATTAGCCAGAACTTGTAAGGAGGAAATAGTGAAAAGTCAGGCCGTCAATAGTCCCGTAACTTCCTCTTCCAACTGACCAGCCAGAAAGCCAAACAACTTAAGTGAGAAAACCTCCTGCTACCATGCAGAAATCTTTCTCAACAACATTCATATGCATAGAACCAAGTTATTATTCATTCAACAAACATACACTGAACATCTACTGCTACCAGCCCCCATTTTAGGTATTTGGAGGGAAAATGATTGCTGATGACCCAATTTGGACCTACTGAGCCTTTATCTCTAATTTTAAATCCCATTTGAATGCCCCTGATAGTTAAGAATAATCGTCCATTTGGTAATCATCCAAATCTGGGACTTCTACTTTGGAAGATGCAAGAATAACTAAGACAGTTCTTGATTTCAAAGAGCTCACATCAGTAACGGCAAATATACCAATTTTTCCAAAACAAGGTTAAAAATGAAAAATGAAGGGAGAGGAACAAATATATTGCTGTGGGAATTCAGAAAAGGGAGAAATGGTGTACTTCTGGGAGTTGTGGAAGGAGTGAAGGAAGGACTCACAGAAATAAGTTTATTTATGAATTAGGATAGTTACAATTTGAACATGCCGAAAAGGAGGAGGAAAGATCCACTATTTTAACTAATAAGAAGAAGAAATCTATCTGCAATGCTTGCTGAGAATCAGGCCCTATGCTTAAACTTAACCTGAAACAAGCAGGTAGGCCCCGTAATTTCCCCATTTTGCAGATGAGAGAACTAAAGCTAAAAAATCTTACATAACTTGCTGACAGTCACACAGATAGAGATTGGGAAAACTAAAAACGAATCCCATATCTATCCTATTCTTAAGCCTCTACACCTCCCAAGAAAGAATAAACAAGGCCAAGAGATGCAGAAGTGTCAGGCATAAGATAAAAGCACTCATTGTTCCCTTTGGCTGGATGGAGGGTGGCAGAGTTGGGGAAGATAGGGCTGGGAAGGTTGAGAGGGAGCCAGGCTGTGGATGCTATGGTAAACTATTTGAGCTTTATATGGTAGCAATGGGAAGGCCACTGAAGGTTTCCTAGCAGAGAATGAAATGAGAAAAGCTGTGTCTTACATCTTAGGCTATGAATCATGGATTATATCAAACAATCTTAAATGATAAAAATAAAAAGTTTGAAGAGTCTCACCCTGCTTTTAAACAAAAAAGTATGGCTAGGAGCCAGGTGAAACTACTGCCTCATAGCTGTCTAGGCAAATTCCCAACATGCCAGGCCTTGAGAAAGAGCCTACCAAGCAAGGCTTATGAAAAATGCAGTCAGTGTCTGTTACCCTGCAAGACAAGGACATACTCATACCTGGAGCTGTCCAAATCTGGCATAAGGATAGCCCTGGGGTATGAAGCATTCTCTGGGACCTGATGTGAAACCACAGGCCAGTGGCTACAGGACAGCTACGGGAATCAGTTACTGGAAGAATCCAGACTTCTGACTCCCAGCCCTGTGCTCATTTCAACAGATCATTTAGTATGCCACTAAATATATGACACTGAGCTTTACGTTTCTGTTAAACACTTAGAAACATAACTTTCCTCATCTGTGAACCAAGAAGTTGAACTCAGAGGGTCTCACATTTCATGATTCTTCATCCTTCTTCCCCTCCAACACATCAGTACAAGGAATCTGCTTTCATCAGTGGCCCACTTAGCAGAATTTGGGGGAGAAGCAACATCTCCTGAGAGTTTCTGTAGCTGGTAAATCTCTTAGCAGAGAATAATTGTACTTTCCAAGCTTTATGAAGCACTTCAGTCCTCCCTCACTGAATTTGATCTGGCCCAGGATTATCCTTTTAAGTGCAAACTGGATCACTGATGTGAAAAGCAATTCCACAATACAGGGCACCATGACCATATCCAGTCACATGCAGGCAGTTCCTCACCCTAACATCAGGGAGTCAATGCCGTAGAATCCAGACCTGTCAGAGTTCAAGGACGTTCTTTTATTGTTTGAGAGGTTTTTTTTTGTTTTGTTTTGTTTTGTTTTTTGTTTTCAGTCTTAAAAGATGGTGTGTTTGCGTATTCGTAAGGTAAGTGAAATTTCAAGGAAGCCAAGCAAAGGCTAAAAGGGGGCAGGAGAGAAAAAAAACCATGATGCATTTTTAGATGTTCACAAACTCCAACTTTCAAAAATGAATTTCCAAAGGGATAAAAACATTTTCTTCTTAAGAGATTGTCAACTACATAGACCCAAGAAACTGTCAGAGAAGAGAAGCAGGGAGAAAATGCAAGAGTTGTTCTGCTCTCAGAGATACTGCTGGTAGAACCGAGATGAACACATGAAGCCACAGACCTTTGAAAGAACTTCTTAAACTTCATTAATTCATTAGACAACAGCCAGTAATTCACTCACAGAGTGTGACTCGGTTCCTGTAATCCATTTACCACAAAAATGTGAGGTATGTTAAACTTAGGGCTTCACCTTCTTTGACCTCCAGCCAGGGAACAGGAAGGAAAATGACAAATGCTCAGATTAACAGGGAAGCAAGCAGAATTCCAGAACCAGGGAAACCTACGTATTGACAGTTACCTCATGGATATTTATTTTTATAGGACTGGCCATGAATATGTATTCTTTCTCCAGATATGAGAAAGGAAAATATGTCCAAAATTTGTGGCAGAATTAACAGCAGGACTGCTAACCTTACATCTGAGACTCCTGGAAGGACCAAGCTACGGGACCACCCATGTTCTGCTTTGGGAACCAGCTTGTGATAGCTTCACTGTCAGACACTCAAGGTATGGTGTTGGCTGATTTCACCAGAAATTGTGTAAATCACTTAGAAGAAATCAGAGTTATACATCACGCATGCCTTAGCAAATCCATCAGGAGGCACAAGTAAGTAGAAGACAAGTCCTGGAAAGGATTCAGGCCTTCTCCTCATTTGTTGACCAGTGTACTAGTCCAGTGAACTCCCAACACCTTTAGCCACAATACACAGGAAGTTAAGATTTAGACTTAGTTGAAATGTCATGAATTCCACCAACAGTTGCCAATCTGAGAGAACCCTACCAATGTGAGGTCAGGGATCTTGTGGGATGAGCTGCAAAGGTATTTGGATATTTGAACATGGTATGTACTTTCATCTCCTTAGAAATGCAGCCTGGTCTGGCCAGGCATGGTGGCTCAAGCCTGTAATCACAGCACTTTGGGAGGCCAAGGCTAACGGATCACGAGGTCAAGAGATCAAGACCATACTGGCCACTATGGTGAAACCCCGTCTCTACTAAAAATACAAAAATTAACTGGGCATGGTGACGCACACTTATAGTCCCAGCTACTCGGGAGGCTGAGGCTGGAGAATCACTTGAACTCAGGAGGCAGAGGTTGCAGTGAGCAATTACACCATCGCACTGCAGCCTCGGCAACAGAGCAAAACTCCAATTCAAAAGTAAATAAATAAATGAATAAATAGAAAGAAAAAAGAAATGCAGCTTGGTCCATTGGCTAGCATGACCAAGCACCCCCAAAATTTCCGCTTTTCCAATAGCTGTAGAAGAGACATAATATATTAACACAGAAAACCGGAAAGAAGGCTTAAGAGTGTAAATCTGAAGCAAAATTGGGTGAGTGGCAGTGGAGGTTGAAGAACTCATTCAAATTCCCTCTACTGAAGCATCCAGAGAGGCCTTCAACGTTATGGATTTGAAAAACATGTCAATACGCACAGTATACCTCCTGACACTAACTTTAGGCGTTAGGTCTACAAAAATAAAACTAGAAGTAGAGGACTGACGCCCAGTAACCCAGTCCAGTGTATCCCACCAGAAACTGAAAGCCTGCTATCAAACGAGAAAAAGTCCACACTTAGGGTGGATACTTTTACTGAGACTGCCTCAAACAGCTTCACCTCCTCCAAGCAACCCTTCCCTTTAACCTTTGATCTTTACTTTTTTGTAAGTGAAGGGAAGAAGAGAGAAAAATTTGTTTTAGAACAGGTAAATTTTTACTTCACTATTTTGAAGATACTTTCTTTTGAACTTCAGAGAAAATCTGCAGACTACAGTCTATTAAAGATGAGGGAGAGGAGACAGAAGAGAAACGGGAAATGAGCGGAGAGAATTTGTACTAGACTCAGGTGTGTCAAATCCTCATGAATTAGTGCTGAATTAGAAGGTCCTCTAACACCATCTTACGGGTACAATCCTCTTTTTGAGAGAGAAGTTGGCTCTGAGAAAGAGGGGGAAAGACTTGTGCAAGTTAATCAGTTGTTGGGTACAGAGATAGGGCCACCAGATACCTAGATTCACAAACACGAGTCACATACTTAAGGAGACCCAACGGGAAAGAGTGAACAGAGCGTGGGAAGATGACGAGGCGGGGGTGGGGGCGCCTGCGAGCCGCGGGGGGCTTTGGCGCGGAGGAGCGCTCCGGGAGTACCTTGATGTAGGCCCGCTGCAGGTAGTTGTAGGGCACTCTGCGCTGGAAGTCGCTGCGCACATCCTCGCCGACGCGGTGACGGGATGCGGGTCCCCCGAGGCGCTGGGTCTCACAGCTGCGGTCACAGCGCGCCCGCTCCAACAGGGAGCGGAAAAACGGGAGCTCGGCCCCGGGGCCCGCGCCGGGGGGCGCCAGCGGGTGGCGCGCGGCGCAGCGGCGGGCACAGCGCGCGCGGATTTCCCGCAGGCGCCGGTGGCTGCGCAGCGCCGCCTCCAAGTCGCGCACGGCTTGCTCGTAGTCTCCGCGGTAGTAGGCGGCCGCGCCGCTGGCGTAGAGCAGGTCGAAGGGCTGCAGAGGCCCGGGCTCCCGCTCCGGCTCCCGGCGCGCGCTGTCCGGGGGGCCGCCCCACACTGGCCGCGGCAGCAGCAGCAGCGGCAGCAGCAGCAGCAGCGGCGGCGGCGGCGGCGCCCAGATGCGCTCCCGCATCCTCCGCCTCGGAGAGGCGCTGCACCGCCACGCGGAGAGGGCTTCGGGGCGCCTCTCCCGCCGCCGCTCGGGGAAGCGCGCCGACCCCGCCGCGATCCGGCTGCCGCGCGAGCCCCAGGTGACTGCTGGCGCTCCGCGGACTGAGAGGCGGAGGCCGTGCCGGGCCAGCCGCTCTTAAAGGGACGCCCACAGCTCACACGCTCCTCCTGCTGCCTCGAGAGCCGCTCTCCCCGGCTCCCTGCTGCGGCGGCGCTGCCGGGGGCGGCACACTCCAGCGCCAGCCACAGAGCTGGCGCCGCTCAAGGCCAGCCGGGGACGAGGAGCTGTACCCGTGGGCTCCCTTCTAGTCGCAGAAGGGGGTTGTGTGAGTCTTTTTTTTTTTTTTTTTTTTTTTTTTTAAATATAAAGATGGAGTTTCACTGTGATGGCCAGGCTGGTCTTGAACTCCTGACCTCAGGTGATCCACCTACCTCGGCCCCCCAAAGTGCTAGGATTACAGGTGTGAGCCAGCGCAGCCGATGTGTTAGTCTTCTTTTTGGAAATAAAGAAAATCCAGCTTAGCAAGGTTAGGGCTGCAATCATATTTCTGGAATCTGTGTATGACCTCGCAGTTTGCAGGGTGCTTCACCTACTGAAGCCTGGAACACCACCTCAGACTGTGAAGAAAACCAACGAGGCGGCGGGCGGTGGCTCACGCCTGTAATCCCAGCACTTCGGGAGGCCGAGGCGGGGGGATTACCTGAGGTCAGCAGTTCGAAACCAAGCTAGCCAATATGGTAAAACCCAGTCTCTACTAAAAATAAAAAAATTAGCCGGGCTTGGTGGCGGACACCTGTAGTCCCAGCTACTCAGGAGACTGAGGCAGTGAGCCGAGATCCCGCCATCCTGGGCAACAGGAGGGAAACTTCGTCTCAAAATAAACAAACAAACAACAACAACAACAACAAAATAAAACATAACATGGCCGGGCGTGGTGGCTTATGCCTGTAATCTCAGCACTTTGGGGGGCCAAGGTGGGAGGATCACGAGGTCAGGAGTTCAAGACCAGCCTGGCCAATATGGTGAAACCCAACTCTGCTAAAGATGCAAAAAATTAGCTGGGAGTGGTGGTGTGCACCTGTAATCCCAGGTACTCGGAAGGCTGAGGCAGGAGAATTTGTTGAACCCAGGAGGCGGAGGTTGCAGTGAGAAGAGATTGTGCCATCGCACTCCAGCCTGGTTGACTGGGCAAGACTCTGTCTCAGGAAACAACAACAACAATACACACAACAACATCAACAATAACAAAACATAGAGGCCGTGTATACCTATGTAATAAACCTGCACATTCTGCACATGTATCCCAGAACCTGAAGTTGAAAAAAAAAAGAATAAATAGAAGAAAAGTCAGAGGCCCTGTAGTCCAGGTGACAAGGTTTGATGAAAGTGATTTGCCCAATTGCATAGAGCTGAGAAGTGGTGAAGGACAGACTCAACCTAGGGCGTTTGGAATCGAGGCTTACTGCTCCTTCTCTTGGGGAAGGGCTCCCCCTTGCCTTATCATCCCGCTTTGTGTAGATGTTTGTCCGAGCATTGGATCAGGGTGCTGGGCCAGGAGAAGAACAATATGTAGCCTGTCTTTCCTGTGTAGCCTGTGGTGTTACAGGGCCCAGAGAACCTTTGGAGGCAGAAAGCGCTGTACTCGCATTCTGCCTCTATCCATTTACCAGGTGTGTGACCTTGGCAACTGAAGGCCTCAGGTGCCTCATCTCCTAAACAGCCAAATGCCTAACACGTGAAATGCTATTAAGAAATAAATTCTTATTGTGGCCAAGTGCGATGGCTCACCCCTGCAATCCCATCACTCTGGGAGGCAGAAGCAGGTGGATTACCTGAGGTCAGGAGTTGGAAACCAGCCTGGCCAATATGGCGAAACCCTGTCTCTACTAAAAATACAAAAATCAGTGAGGTGTGGTGGCGCATGCCTGTAGTCCCAGCTACTTAGGAGGCTGAGGCAGGAGAATTCCTTGAACCCGGGAGATGGAGGTTGCAGTGAGCTGAGATCCTGCCACTGCACTCCAGCCTGGGTGACAGAGTGAGACTCTGTCTCAAAAAAAAAAAGAAAGAAGAAGAAAGAAGAAGAAGAAGAAGAAAAGAAAGAAGAAGGAGGAGTAAGGAGAGGAGGGGAGAGGAAAAGAAAGAGAGAGAGAAAGAGAGAAATGAAAGAAAAAGAAGAAAGAAAAAGGAAGGAGGGAAACAGGAAGGAAGGAAGGAAGGAAGAAAGAAAAAGAGAGAAAGAAAAAGAAAAATTCTTACAGTAAGTTGAACAAAGAGGCAATTTAGTAAATCCCTTACCTTCAGGAATTAAGCAATGTGCATCAACCTAGGAATGGGAAAGCTGACAGAAATGGTTGCCAGATTCCAAATGACTAGCTGGAGGCTTCCCATTTTTCCCCTTCTCCTCTGTCACAAATACATTCTTAGCCAAGGTGCTCCCGTCTTTCAAGTTCCTTGGCTGTACACTCTCATAAGGATGCGTGCAAGAGTATGCGTTGGACTCTGGATCCCAGTCTGCCTCCTGGAGGCATCTCTGTGGTCTTCTAGTGCCTGTGAGGATCTCATTAGTCTTCCAGTCCCTGCAATGGTGAGTAGAGGGACAGGCAATGGGAAAAAGACACACGCATGTATCTAGTTGCTATGATTTTTTTCAAAGAACACTTTTGTGTGGAATCACCACTATGCTGAGGGGCTTGGCAGAGATTCATGCTCATTCCTTCATTCATTTTGTTAGATTTGACCACTCAGGCCATGAACAGCCCTGACTGTGATTCCAAGAGACACTGATGAATCACGCTCTTATTTTTTTTTCCCCCACCAAACGTTACTAATTTGACTGATATTGCTGATGAAAAAGCTCCAGTTTGGAGCTGAATGTATACTGAATGCCTTGGCTAGTCACTGTTCCAGAATTAGCACTTCGGTCATCTGCCCAGACTTTTTCTCTAGAGATTGTCTCTGTTTTCAGATAAAAATTTTGGAGTCCAGTCCAGGGTAATCAGTCCATTGGTGGAAGATTTGAAACACGTCAGGATAGGAACTCCTGCTGTGGGACTGAGGGCAAAGTGCCAGGATGTCTTGCTATATTTTATCTCTGCATTTGGTGGCATTTCTACATCACTTAATGTATTTCAATTAAATTAACATTTTCTGATGCTACTTTCAAACTAAATAAATACTTTGGGTGAAAGAGAAGATGAATAAATTAGGATTCTTATCTCTGGGAATCTCACACTTTTACATAGGAAACAGATTTGATGTATATGATGTACAGAGATATAATACAAGGTAGAATGTGGTATATGTTAGATTAGATTGAAAGTGCTATGGGAACACAGAGGTTGCAAAGATAGCTTCTGGCTGGATCTAGAAAGACTTAAGGAAAGAACTGGCATTAGCACAGGGTCAATAGACTATAGGTTGCAAGCACATCCTACTGATTCTCAAATTGGCCAGGTCTTTCAAGCCTTTTGTATGTCCTACTACCCTGTTTCTTTTTTTCCTTTTTTCCTTTTTTTTCTGAGATGGAGTCTCGCTCTGTCACCCAGGCTGGACTGCAGTAGCATGATCTCAGCTGACTGCAACCTCCACCTCCCAGGTTCAAGCAATTCTTCTGCCTCAGCCTCCCCAATAGCTGAGATTACAGGCATGTGCCACCACACCCAGCTAATTTTTGTATTTTTGGTAGAGACGAGGTTTCACCATATGAGTCAGGCTAGTCTTGAACTCCTGACCTCATGATCTGCCCGCCTCAGCCTCCCAAAGTACTGGTATTACAGGCATGAGCCACTGCTCCTGGCAATACTACCTTATTTCTTATGTCTTACTACAAGTAGTACCTTGTATTACTACCTTACCTACAATGTCTGCCTGACTTGTGAGAAACTGTTAATTGACAAGTCCAATTTACTTAAACATTAGAATCACCTAAGAAGTAGTTGGGGTTCCCGGTGCTGTGTAGGATTCATGAGTAAGTAGCGTTTTGGAAATAGGTAGGGTTTTGTGTAATCCCCCATATATTCCCTCCCAAGAAAACCAATCTGATCTGCTTTTTTTTTCTTTTTTTTTTTTTGAGACGGAGTTTCGCTCTTGTTACCCAGGCTGGAGTGCAATGATGCGATCTCGGCTCACCACAACCTCCACCTCCTGGGTTCAAGCAATTCTCCTGCCTCAGCCTCCTGAGTAGCTGGGATTACAGGCACGCGCCACCATGCCCAGCTAATTTTTTGTATTTTTGGTAGAGACAGGGTTTCACCATGTTGACCAGGATGGTCTCGATCTCTTGACCTCGTGATCCACCCTCCTCAGCCTCCCAAAGTGCTGGGATTACAGGCGTGAACCACCACGCCCGACCTGATCTGCTTTTTAAGACTGGATTAGGACAAAAAGTTCAAGACCATATGGTAATAACAGCCATGCAGTGCAAAGAAGCTGATTCCAGGTCATGCTCTCCCAGTGGTACTTTATGTTGGAAGAGACAGTCATCCATGAGTCTCTTATACTCCTGAACTTCTTGCAGATTGTGCCAAGAATGTACTTTTTCTTACATAATTAACTGAGTTCCATCTCAGAGTTCTGGATTCACTAAATCTGGGGTGGAGCTTTCAAATTTGCATTTCTAATTTGTTCCTTGATGATATGCTGGCCATACTTTATTATTCGATTCCTTATAAACAATGGTTCTAAAACTTTGTTGTGTTGTTAAAAAGCTAATAAAATCACAGAGACCCTGGATTTTTTGAACTAGAATCAAGTGTGGGCCTTTATGTTTTTACCCGTTTCTCAGGGGATGCAGATATTAACCAAAGTTAAAGAGTCACGGCTTCAGTTAGAGCAGTGGTTCTCAATTGGGACTGATTGTGTTCCCAGAAGATATTTGACAATATCTGGAGGTATTTTTGGTTGTCAGATCTGGGACATGGTGGGTGGCAACATTCATATTGTTGGCGTCTGGTGGGTAGAACCAGGCATGGTGTTGACCATCCTGCAATACACAAGACAGCTACCTACGAGAAATAATTATCTAGTCTAATGTGTCAGCGGTGACAAACTTGAGGGATACAGCATAGTTTGAGCACTGCAAGGGGCTCATCTAATTCTCTTAATTTAAAAAAAGAGGATACTTAGACCCACAGGTCACTTAGA